CACCCCTCGCTAGGGTCTAGGATTGCACAGCATTCAATGGCGTCTTTAGCCTCATCTCTACAATAGTGGATCAGGTAGGAAAGTTGACCTTCGTCGTCCCCCAACTTGCTAGCTATATCACTTTCAAAGCTTCTTAGAAAGAGCCATTATTTAAAGGGATTGCCAGCGAAATACATAATTTCGCTCTGTTGTAGAGCAAAATGTTGATGCATGGGGCGCGGATACTCACCGACAATTGTTGGTTTTGACGGAGGCGGAGACATTTTCGTAGTAATTGTCGACTGCCTTGATTGTTCTTCAAGGGTGGCGATTCTTTTCCTGTAATCATCAAGGACAGCTTCGTTTTCTTCTGAATGCAAGAAGTATCTGTCCAACTGAGGCACAGACGACGATCGTTGATGATCGCCCATTTGTTGGGTATTTTGTGTAACTGTAGAATATACGGATTTTGTTAACTTGAGTAGACGCGATCTCTATTAAATCGATAACAGTATCGTTAAGTTGGGTACGGTTCTATTATTGGAGAGTAGGAAAAACATAAATAATACTTTTGCACGCAAAGTTTCCGAGTCCGAGACAGCTCGCGTGGGTCGACGTGTGGGAAGGATGGACCTGAATAAATCAGACGGGTAGTCAGACGCAGCAATCAGAGACAGACGATCCGAACAAACGTGAGCCAAGGCACGACAGAAGACGAGACTCGCTATAAGCACGTTTATTCAATCACGGCCGTTTCAAAAGTGGCGTGCTTTAGTCCCGCGATAAAACAAAAGACTGATCCTCCGGGACTGGGTCGGTCCGGTCGGTCAGGGTGTACGCGTTTGATCTGCCTAAGAAATAAAGGAAGGTATGGCAGTAAAGAATGATTCATAAAGGATGAAATATCGTTATATTGCCCCCTTCTCAGAGGAGACACTGTCCACAGTGTCACTAGCGGCTAGGTTGTCAGTAGAAGTTATCTCTACAGTCTGTGCAACGGAAGGTAGGGACTCAGGAGGGACAGGGGATAATGAGGAACCGGGAAGGGTGTCCTGCTGAGGTGCCGGCTTTATTTGATTGTAATGCACAGTGAAAACATCGGCGTAGGGATTCTGTGGGTCGCGGAGAACAAACGTGTTGGCGGACGGCTGGAAAACTATGGTATACGGGCCCTGTTAAGGTCGGTGAAATTTTCTAGACGCTCCGGAGGGTGGTCGTGGTCTGAACAGAAGCACAGAATCGCCAACACGGTACTCCGGGCCGGCTGTTTGTCGGTCATAGTAAGATTTCTGATGCAGTTGTGCCGTTTTAATTTTATCGGCAGTTATCCTGTAAGCGACGAGAAGGCGTACCTTCAGGGCTCGGACGGATTCCCCCATATTGATGGCCTCGACGGGAATTAGCGGGAAAGGAGGTCTGCCGGCAGTCGCAGCTCATGGCCCAGCTGAAGGAGTGCGGGAGAAAATC